ATGCTTTCGCATCTTATCAACAGCGAGTCTGAAGATTTTTGACATTTTTGATTCGTCTTTAATGCAACAAGAGCTCATCACTTTTATGGACAATGATCACTGTCTGTAAATTCAGAATCAGAAAACGAAATTCCTATTGGAAACAACATTAAGAGTAATTTTTACAGATGCACAATAGGAAATTATTGCAAATTGTATCCTCTATTTGTGAATTTTGCCAACAATTTGGTTTTGTGTACTTCCATCCTGATTAACCAGTTCTATCTGCAATCTGTAGTTTTTAGAGCACCTCGGTATGCGTTAACATTAGTTAAATTGACCTCTGGGGACATGAGCCAACACACAATACGCTTGAAAACAGTTCTAGGTCATTAAAGTACCTTTAAATTTCAGATTTGCGCCTATTTTTGTTTGCAGATTGTGGATCTGAACTTAGTCAGGGATCAGAGTACAAGCAGAAACTTAAAAACCTTAGAATCTGCGATTCAGTACTGCATTCTCAGTATTTCAGTTCCATTAGTTTTGATAGTATCCAAAAAATGGTTGTGAAACAACACAGTTACTTGATGCGCACCGTTGCATCGGTTTACGGCATATCAGCAACTATCACTATCCACAAAAACGCCACAAAAATGAGGTAAAACGCACATGTATGCATGGCAGATTTGAAGCTTTACTGATGAACTGCGCTTCTAGCGCATGTGCTGCTTCCTCTGTGCTTACAGCAAGGGATGAAACACGTACTTCCCTGTGTGCAAATGTAACATCTGACGTATAGTCTTCGCACCTTCCAGATCTTGTGCTTCTGTTGGGCAAAGCAAAAAATCCGATGGCGCGCAGATTTTGCGAGTAGTTTCGTAAAGGTCATTTGACTTAGTGGTCTAGCAATTCCCGGTGGTCACTGTTGATTTCTACGCGCAGAAATCTTGTATATAAAAGTGTGTGATCAGTATCAGGGTTTTCTCTTTTTTGTTCTGTTCTCGCAAGTGTTTCAACAAAGCTTTCGTCATGTCATTGGTCTCCCAGTGCAGTTCAACCGAGAAGAGGCAGCATCAGAGAAATACGATCGGGCTGCGAAAAGTCTTGTCTGGGCGCGATTCGTCGGCGCGCTCAATACTTCAAATGTTTCAGTGAAACAAGTTATTAGCGATTATTTATTGCTGCTCCAATAAATTTCTAAAACCTAATTTGACTTTCAAATATGCAGACCTGCAAATATGCAAAAACACAAAACTAGACCTTTCGTAAGACTTTTAATGGCGTATTGCTGAGCCAGATAGATAGTACCACTGAAAGAAGCCACGAGAAGGAAAAAGGCTACTTGGGTAATCTCAGAAAAGCTGAGACGCCTAAATAAACGATGGGCAGAAACGAAGACATACAGCTTATTAGCAGATGGCTTACCTGGATCCTGCCTTTTATTGCAACCTGACAACTCAAGATCTCCAAATGATTTGATGTCACCTCAAGTTCTTTGATAATCCAACTAGTTTCAGTTCACGTAATTCTCCTTCGATTATGTAAAGGTTTTTCTAGTTGTGTTGAGCAATTTGGTAACTTCAAGACTCCAATCAATTCGAAGAAACCTTGCTAGCTGCGTACTTCAATTAGCTCCAGTTTTTAGCGTGGTTTTACTGTCTGTGCAGAGACTTTTCCGATAGCTTTGACCAGCACTGCATCGCCTCGTCGTCAGTCTGCTGACAATTTTAACGCTTTAGTTAACACTGCTTTGATACTTTTTAAGCAACTTGGTAATATACTAAAAAATTTGCATATGTCTGTATATGAGCGCTCAGAACAAAAACAGTTTACGGAACCAAATAAATTCGTTAGTTCCAAGCAATTGACGTTATTTGCT